TTCTACTTTAGTATATAGGTTAGATTTTCCCATAATAAAAACTTTTGGTTGTTTTTAAACATAGGGGAAAACTCAGAGTTAGTGCTTAGGCTATGAGTCAACAAAGCCTATAGGCTGGTAGGGATGAGAAGCAGAGTTTATGGAACCCTTAATCTATCATCAAGGCCTGAGGGAAGAAAGGTTAGCGCAGGCCATACGTGAAAAAGGCTTTCGATTGGGACTCTCAAGAGTCAGTTAACATGTTTTGGAAGATAGAGATAGAAAAGGTAGTCTTTCGTCCAAGAAAAACTAAATCTCAGAGTCAGAAGTTTGAGAGTAATTTAATTATAGCCACAGATTAAGTGGCTGGCAAATGATCTTCAACAATCTATGGAGCATTGCAAATGAGATATATTATACTTTGAATCATTAATTTCAGAGCTATAAAATAAATATGTAGCCACTCTTTCCCATAGCACATTAACGAAGAATGGAGAATGTTTCTTCCATTTCAAAAATTTATTACTGGAGCCGGGCGTGTTGGCTCACACCTGTAATCCCAGCACTTTGGGAGGTCAAGGCAGGTAGATCACTTGAGGTCAGGAGTTTGAGACTAGCCTGGCCAACATGGTGAAACCCTGTTCTACTAAAAGTACAAAAATCAGCTGGGCATGGTGGGAGGCGCCTCTAATCCCAGCTACTTGGGAGGCTGAGGCACGAGAATCGCTTGAAGCTGGGAGGCAGAGGTTGCAGTGAGCTAAGATCGTGCCACTGCACTCCAGCCTGGGCGACAGAGCGAGATTCCGTCTCAAAAAAAAAAGAAAAAAAATGTATTCTTTAGCACTGATAATTGCTTACACAACAATATTATACTCTAGAAGACATTAGGCTCAGTGTGTCTAAAACCTCGACAACAAGGTCCACACACTAGAAATATTGTGCATTCTGAGACTTGACGCAGCCTCCACAGACAAGAATTAAAGGAAGTGACGGAAATATGGGCAAAAGTATATCCTTTATCTGAAACTATAAATAATCTGTATTCAATAATAAATTATCTGAAACACAAATACTATGAAACCATATTTTAGCTTGTATCATATAAGAGTAGAAAAAAACAACTAAAAGCCCAAGAGCAAACTTCCAGCATAGAAAGCTTCACCGCCTGGCCCCTCTCTTCAACGCCCCACAATCTGAGATGTCGACCTGTAATAGACAGAAAAGAATGAGGCAGGGAAGACCAGAGTAAATCAGCAATACAGGGTCAAACATCTTCCCTATATCATATGAAGGAAATACATGTTTATCACTGAATGGTGCCATCTTTGATCTCCAAACAAAAAGCATTAATGACTCATCATCAAAACATTCCCTATTACTAAGGATGGCTTTTCACTAATCCACCTGCAATCTGTTATCCAATATGAACAAAAATATAAGATGAAATCTCTGGCTGGGGACCAGAACAAAGCCCACATACACACAAGGGACCAAGGGTCTTCTTGGTTCTCTGCTAACACCCACAGATCTTTCTTACCAATGGAAATCATTTAGTGTTGGGTTACAAATATACTATAGCATCTAGTCACAGAGGTCATTCAAAATAACATGATTAAATAAAAGATCTAATGTTATTTCTTGTTTTTTTGTTTTGTTTTGTTTTTTAATAGAGTTTTGCTCTATCATCCAGTCAGGAGTACAGTGGCACCATCTCGGCTCACTGCATCCTCCCCCTCACGGGTTCAAGAGATTCTCCTGACTAAGCCTCCCAAGTAGCTGGGACTTCAGGCACACACCATCACGGCTAATTTTTGTATTTTTAGTAGAGACGGGTTTTTGCCAAGTTGGCCAGCCTAGTCTCGAACTCCTGCTCTCAGGTGATCCATCCACCTCGGCCTCCCAAAGTGCTGGGAATACAGGCATGAGCCACTGTGCCCGGCCTTTCTTGTTATCTATTATCCTAGGTGCTAGGTGCCAAGCTATGGGCAAGTTTTAAGGATTCTGCTGAATGTATCTACCTGAGCACTTCAATGCATAAGCAAGAACAAGTATTGCATAGACTTTACAATAAATGTTAAAGGTTAACAATAACATAATTCTCAACAATGTCCAATTGGCAAATTAATTTTCCTTATACTATCTACAAGCTTCAATGTTAGTTAGCATTCATTCTTGAGATATATGATATATATATATCCCTATTTTTTGACCTATATCAAAATATATTTAAGCCCAAAATACTAAAAAAATTAAATTGACTTTAAAATGTCTAAAATTCAACTATTCAAAGCAAACCTAAGTGTCCAGTAACAAATGAATGGATAATGAAAATATACTCTATACACACACAGACACACACACACACACACAATAGAATACTACTATTCAGCCTTAGGAGGAAGTCTTGTCATTTGGGACAACATGAATGAACCTGGAGGACATTATGTTAAGTGAAATAAGCTAGTCACAGAAAGATAAATACTGCATGATTTCACTTATATGTGAATTGTAAAAAAGTCGAAGTTATAGAAGCAGAGAGTGAAATGGAGATTACCAGAGGCTGAGGGTCAGGAACACTGGGGAACTACTGGTCAAAAAACACAAAATTTCAGTTAGACAGGAAGAATAAGTTCAAGAGATCTATTGCACTTCATGATGATCATGGTTAATAAAAATATATTGTATATCTGAAAATTGTTGACAGTAGATTTTGTGTTCTCATCACAAAAAAAAAGGTGAGGTAATGCATATGTTAAACAGCTTGATTTAGCTATTCCATAGTGTATACATATATCAAAACATCATATTGTAAGCCATAAATATATACAGTATTTACTTGTCAATTAAGATAAGTAAATAGATAAACAAGTTTAAGAAGCAAAAATGGACTCTGAGTGGTCAAAAGAGAAGGCATAAAGTCCTTGTATGCATTAAAGCTTTTCTTGGGAGAGAATCCCTTGTTTTCATTCAAAAACTCTACCTCTAGCCTTATTTTATAATTTTATCTGTTATACAGTTTCCAAGTTCATCTGAGTTTAAAGTTAGAACATTAATATTGTCCTCAGGGTGGGGAACATCACACCCCGGGGCCTGGTGTGGGGTGGGAGGCAGGGGGAGAGATAGCATTAGGAGAAATACCTAATGTAAATGACGAGTTAATGGGTGCAGCAAACCAACATAGCACATGTGTAACAAACCTGAACACTGTGCACATGAACCCTAGAACTTAAAGTATAATTTAAAAAAAAGAGAGAGAGAAATTTTTTCTTAAAAAAAGAAAATTAATGTTGTCCTAAGTAGCATAAACTGGCTTGAGTTAAGTTAAGGCAGGCAAAGATTATAAGGATATAGGTCCCTTCATGAAGCCCAAAAACAGGAACAGTGCTTCAGACAGGACTGGAAACAGGGCTGAGACGGCTCATCATCCCTCTCGGTTTCTTGTCTCTGCTCATTTGTGTATATCTGCCCCCCGTGCTTTCCAGGCCACGTGGCTGTTAAAAGATGCCCACTGCATAGCTCCTGAGCTTCGAGTTTACAGGTGTAACTACAGACAGTAAGCTTCCTCCCCTGGAAACGTTACAGGAAATGGACACGGAATGACCGCGTTGCCACTCCCGGTCCAGCCCCTTGTGGCTGAGGTGAGAGAGGAAGTCAAGTTATAAAATGGCTGGGGATTAAAGAAGGTTCTTACAATCTAGGAAGACCCTCCAAAGAGTATTCGCCACAGAAGGAAAGCTGTGAAAATACAGGGATCTAGAGAAGCTTTGAAAATACAACAAAAAGTAAGGGTTGATAACCTTATAATGAAGGATACAGGCCCTCCAAATATTTTGACTTGAGGTAGTTTAGTATATGGGCAAATATCCCATAACACCTTAGTAGACTATAAGGGATTCATTGTACTATTGGACTACTGATGACTCATCACTCAGGAAAGTTTAAGTTGTATTAAATACACAATTTGAGAAGAACGCAATGCCTCCCTCAGTCAACCCCATGAGGTGCTGTGAAACCGGAATGCCTTTCCTTCAGGGTAGTTCTGAGTTGGCACAATGGGGATAGGCCTTTACTAAACCTGTGCAACAACCAGTCAGTCACTAGATACAGGCTGCCCTGCAAGAGGGTGTGATCTTGGGTGAAACAGCTTTTTTTTTCAGACAAAGTCATCTTGCTCTGTCACCCAGGCTGCATTGCAGTGACACAATCACGACTCACTGCAACTTCCACCTCTCAGGCTCAAGCAATTCTCCCACCTCAGCCTTCTGAGTAGCTGGGACTACAGGCATGCACCACCATGCCCAGCTAATTTCTGTATTTTTAGTAGAGACGGGGTTTCACCATGTAGCCTAGGCTAGCCTCAAACTCCTGGGATCAAGGAATTCACTCACCTCAGCCTCCCAAAGTGTTGAGATTACAGGTGTGAGCCACTGCACCCAGCCCTAGAAAAAAATGTTAAGAGCAGCTGGCAGCAGATGGAATGAGGAGTCAGGATGGCAAGTCTCAACAAATTTCAAAAAATATACACAGATAATGGAGTATGTTCACTGTTCACAGCGAAATTATGCTAGAAGTTGAGAGCAGATGTCCTGAAATAGCTTACATACATACATACATACATACATACATACATACATAAAATTTAAATATTTAAAAAAAGAAATTGGCTGGGTGCGATGACTCAAGCCTGTAATTGGCCCAGTGCTTTGGGAGGCTGAGGTGGGTGGATTGCCTGAGCTAAGGAGTTCGTGACCAGCCTGGGCAACATGGTGAAACACTGTCTCTACCGAAATACAAAAAATTAGCCAGGCGTGGCAGCGTGCACCTGTAGACCCAGCTACTCCGGAGGCTGAGGCAGCAGAATTGCTTGAACCCGGGAGGTGGAGGTTGCAGTGAGCCAAGATCATGCCACTGCATTCCAGTCTGGGCAACAGAGCAAGACTCCGTCTCAAAAAAAAAAAAAAGAAATTGAGAGCAGAAGGATAACTTAAAAACTGCCAAATTTTTGGAAGTAAACCCATTTCTTTTTTTTTTTTTTTTTAAAGTTTTCATCTTTAATGAAATGACTTTGGAAATAACGTACATTTCCATGACACCAATACTACAGTTTTCGGAGTCACAGTAAGATACACAGAATTACATCCGTAATTAATAAGAATGCCAACATGTCAAGCAGTAATTTGTTACATGGCAAACAAAATCAAGAAAGCAACCATCAAACAAAAGAGACCCATAGCTTCAGACAAGGCAAATCCCAGGATAGCATATGAGAACAGCTGCTGCTTCAGCGAAGGGTTTCTGGCATAACCAATGATAAGGCTGCCAAAGACTGTTCCAATACCAGCACCAGAACCAGCCACTCCTACTGTTGCAGCACCTGCACCAATAAATTTGGCAGCAGTATCAATGTCTCTGCTGATTGCACTGGTCTGAAACTCCCTTTGGATTAGCTGAGACACACCATTCTGGGCCCCATTAAATACCGTAGAGCCCTCTCCAGTCCTAGCCTCTGGTCGAGATAACACTGATGCAGAAATTGGTCTGTATGCAACTCTGGATCCAGCTCGGATCAGAGCGGGCGTGCAGGCGAGCTTGGCGCAGGCGAACATCTTACACTCTTCGGGACCGCGCGGCTGGAGATACTGGGTGACAGGTGACATGGGCTCCTCTCCCTCTTCCTCTCTTCCCGAGAGGTGGCTGCGGCACCGGCGGCGGCAGAGGTCGAAGTAATGGGACTCAGTAAACCCATTTCTTTATGAAATGATTCACAGAAAAACTATCAAGGGAAATTAATAAATAAATGAACAGTAATAAAAATTCAACATATCAAAACCTGAGAAATATAGCCAAACTGTTGCTTCGAGAGAAATTTACATCCTTAAATCATATATTAGAAGTGAAGAAAGGCTGAAAAGCAATGTCTGAGCATTCATCCCAAGAAGCTAGAAAAAGAATAGCAAATTAAAGAAAGTAGAAAAAAGAAAATAACAAAGATAAACACAAAATCAGCAAACTAGAAAATAATTGTACAATAAAGACAAATCAACAAAGCCAAAAATTAATTATTTGAGAAGACTAATAAAATTATAAAACACTAGTAGGTACAGATATAACCTATGTAAACAATTCCCTATTGCTGGACATCTACGTTATCTCCACTTGGATACACTATTCCACAGCACTGACATAATCATCCTTCCAATATTCACTCATGCTTATTTCCTGAAAATAAATTCTTAAAATTATGACTGTTAGCTCAAAGGGTGTGAAAAATTCTATGGCTTCTGATACATATATTGTGCTAAACTGCCCTATGGAAAGATTGAACCAATTTTACTCCCACTAGCAGTTTATGATAGTATTCAATTCCCTAAGAAATAAGCATGATTTAAAAAAATATTTATTAATTTGTTTGGTTAAAAAAAACCTCTTCATTTTAATTTGCATTTCTTACATTACTAATGAGTTGAACACTTTCTCAATGTTTACAGGTTAAGTTTCTTTTGTGAAATGCCTTAGTGTTTTCTATTCTTCTATTAAGGTGTTAGCCTTTCTCACAGATTTTATTACTTTTTATATATTGATATTGAGCCCTGAACCAAAGAATTAAAAATATTTTCCTGTTCTGTCAGATTGCTTATTAACGTCCTTTCTAACATGTTGTTGTAGAGAGCTTGAAACTGTTTATATTCTTGTCAATTTTTTTTCCTTTATGGTTTGCCTTTATTTGATGTTTAGAAGTACCAATCCCATACCAAGGTTATTATGTGAATACTCACCCATATTAACCCCTAATGGAATAGCAGTGGTAAAGACTTGATGAATTTCTACAAATGTCTTGCTGGCTCAGGAATGTAGTCAGGAATTCCATAAAGCATATCAAAGGTAAGATATCATTTAAGATTTTTAAAAACTAAAGATACTACTAGATTCTAGGCTTTGTGGGGCAGAGTCAAGGCAAGGCAAAATTGTGATGTGACTGAAATTGCTTTTAGTGGCCCAAAGTATCTCCTTTTTTCTTTGCCCTTTTACTCCTGAAGCAGCTTTTCCTCCATCCCCAGTTCTAGCTACCTATCTCATTCTCAGTGAAGGAAGGACTGATACTGGTTTACTACAAGACATTAAAGATATTTATGCTTTTAAAATAACAACTTGCAAAGAGCACGGCCAAGAAAAGTTTGGGGAAGATTCTGAAGCATTAATGGATTTTCTTTTTTTATTATTATTTTTAATTGTGATAAAATACACATATTTACAATCTTAATCATTTTTAAGTATACATTTCAGTGGTGGTATTAAATGCATTTACTTTGTTGTGTAACCATCACCACCATCTGTCCACAGAACTTTTTCATCTTCCAAAACCGAAACTCCATATCCATTAAATGAACGCCCCATTTTCCCCTTCCCTCAGCCACCAGGAACAACTACGCTACTTTCTGTCTCTACAGATTGTACTACTTTAGGTACTTCATGTAAGTAGAATCATACAGTATGTATCTTTTGTCACTGGCTTATTTCACATGGCATAATGTCCTCAAGGTTATCCATGTTGAGGCATCTTTCAGAATTTCCTTCCTTTTTGAGGCTGAATAATGTTCCATTGTATAAATATACCACATTTTGTTTATCCATTCATCCACCAATGGACACTGGGTGGATTCCATCCTTTGGCCATTGTGAATAATGCTACTGTGAACACAGATGTGCAAGTATCTCTTTGAGACCTTGCTTTGAATTCTTTTGGGTATATACCCAGAAGTGGGATTGCTGGATCATATGTTAATTATTATGTTTAATTTTTTTAGGGGGCCAGGCACAGTAGGTCACACCTGTAACCCCAGTGCTCTGGGAGAACAAGGCAGGGAGATTGCTTGGGTGACCACAGGATTTTGAGGGTTACAGTGAGCTATAGTTACCCCTCTGCACTTCAGCGTAGGTGACAGAGGGATATTCTGTCTCTTAAAAATAAAAAATAAAATAAATAAAAATTTGAGGAACTGACATACTGTTTTCTATAGGGGCTGCATTTTATATTACCACCACCAGTGCACAAGAGTTCCAGTTTCTCCACATCCTCTCCAGCACTTGTTATGTTTGTTTTTGTTTTGTTTTGTATGATAATAGGCATGAAATGATATTTCATTGTGGGCTAGATTTGCATTTCCCTAATGATTAATGATGTTCAGCATCTTTTCATGTGCTTATTAGCCATTTGAATATATTCTTGGAGAAATGTCTATTCAAATCCTTTGCCAAATTTTTTTTTTTTTTGAGATGGAGTTTCACTCTTTTTGCCCAAGATGGAGTGCAATAGCATGATCTCAGCTCACCGCCACCTCCACCTCCTGGGTTCAAGTGATTCTCCTGCCTCAGCCTCCTGAGTAGCTGGGAATACAGGCATGCACCACCATGCCCAGCTAATTTTTTGTATTTTCAGTAGAAACCGGGTTTCACCACGTTAGCTAGGTTGGTCTCCAACTCCTGACCTCATGTGATCCGCCCGCCTCAGCCTCCCAAAGTGCTGGGATTACAGGCATGAGCCACTGCGCCTGGCCAGAAAACTTTTAACTCAAAAATGTCTCTTTGAAATACCTTTGGCCAGGTGTGGTGGCTCGTGCCTGTTATCCCAGCACTTTGGGAGGCCAAGGAGGGAGGATTGCTTGAGCCCCAGGGCTCAAGACCAGCCTAGACAACATAATGAGACCCCGTTTCTACAAAAAAATACACAAAAATTAGCTGGGCATGGTGGTGCGTCTGTAGTCCCAGCTGCTTGGGAGACCGAGGTGGGAGAATTGCTTTAGCCCAGAAGTTCAAGGCTGCAGTGAGGTATGATTGTGCCACTGTACTCCAGCCTGGACGACAGAACAAATCCTTGGCTCTAAATAATAAAAATAAAAATAAGATAAAATTGAAAAAGAAATATATTTGTTCACACTACTTGAAAAAAGAAAATATTTGTTTTTTGATTATAAAAGAATGTATGTTGATTATAAAAATTCAGATATTACATAATTGAATAAAGTATTAATAGAAAATGAAAATCCCCCAAAATCTCACCCACAGAAAAAACTCTTTTAAACAGTCTAAACAGTCTAGTATAAACTTCCATAACGTAGGCATACACACAGACACATCCACCCACCCACCCACCCACACACACACACACACACACACACTGTATTTTACTTTTCTCTGCTTAACAATATATCCTGGACATTTATCCATATTAATATGAGATGCTGTTAATTACCTTTTTTAAATAGTGGTCAAGATAGTATTTATATATATAAACTAATATTAAATTTTTGTTTGGGAGGCCGAGGCAGGCAGATCACCTGAGGTCAGGAGTTCCAGACCAGCCAGGCCAGTGAAATCTCGTCTCTACCAAAAATATGAAAATTATCCAGGCATGGTGGTGCACACCTGTAATCCCAACTACTCAGGAGGCTGAAGCAGGAGAATTGATTGAACCCGGTAGGCAGAGGTTGCAGTGAGCCAAGATCGTGCCACTGCACTCCAGCCTGGGCAACAGAGTGAGACTCCATCCCAATACATACATACACACATACATACATATATACATACATACATAAATTTTTTTTAAATTCACAAAACCTAAAACAAAACGGATTCTAATAAGATCAAAAGCACTTCAGGGTCTAACATTGAAGAATAGAGAGACAAAATATAAAATAAAGCTCGTAATCATTCTGTATCACTTGTACATAAAATCTAAATATTGAATAGTGCTATAATTGCAGACTTGCCATATTTACCTATAGCACATTTACAAACTCTCTTTCTCTCTCCAAACCAGAAATAATGTAACCTCTGACCATGCCACATCTACAGAAGTGTCTGATCAGTAAGGCCAGCCATTTCCAAAACTTTTAGTAAGAGAACAGAGAGGCTACCAATCTAGTTGACAAATGTAAAAGGCAGATGAACATATATAGGGGTTTGCAAGTGTCAGCCTCCATTTAAAGTACAATTCTCTCATTGTGCCATTAGTAAATAACATTTTGGTTATTTCTTCAGTTACACAAAGAATTAGTGTCTTCCTTTATGATTAAGGAAAGAGAGATTGCCCTGTAAGTCTCAGCAAACGATACAAATTTAAGTACAAGTTGAAATCCTGTCATTTGGAGCAACATGGATAGAACCGGAGGTCATTATGTTAAGTGAAATAAGCTAGGCACAAATATCACATTTCTCATTCATATGTGAGAGCTAAAAAAGTACTCTCATGAAGACAAGAGAGTAGACTGGTGGATACCAGAGGCCAGGAAAGGTAGCAGGGAGGAGGAGATAAAGGGAGGTTGATTAATGGGTATAAATATTAATATACAGTTTGATAGAAGAAATAAGATCTAGTGTTCAACAGATCAGTGGGATGACTACAGGTTACAATAATCTATTGTATATTTCAAAATAGCTAACAGACTAATTTGAATGTTTCTAGCATAAAGAAAAAACAAATAGGGAAGGTGATGGCTATCCCAATTACACTGATTAGACCTTTACAAATTATATCAATGTATTAAATTATAACATTACCCTCAAAATACGTACATCTATTATGTATCAATAAAAAATAAATTTAGGCTGGGCATGGTAGCTCACACCTGTAAATGCCAGCACTTTGGAAGGCCAAGGTGGGAGGATCTCTTGAGTCAAGGAGCTCAGGACAAGGGTTGAGCCTGGGCAATGCAGTGAGATCCCATCTCTAAAAAAAAATTAAGAAA